TTTAAATGAATTTGAAAAAAAGACCAACTTTATACAGTTTATCCAGGTTAGCAGGTGAGCTAATGTTAAATAACTTTAGCCAAAACAGAGCAGCTCAGGGTCAGATGTGACCCCCAAAATCAATAATGAATTCAATGTCCTTCTGATGTTGGCCGTTCTTTTCCGCTCGACGCTGATCAAATTCCAGTTGGTAGAGGCTTTGCTGGATAAAACTGAATAAACAAACATGAGCATATCTGCTCACGCAAACAAATTTCTTGCCAAACCAATGCAGCAGCAGCTAGCTGGGTTGCTTGTTCACTCTACTTCCTGAAGCCACATCATCCTTTGTTTCCTACCTTTATGCTGGAATCTGTCTTGTACTGTGAGCCTTTGTCCTATGTAATGTATTTTATGTAATGTATGTTATTGCTGTTCCGTGTTGATGCTATGGGGTATTAAAGTTGCGTAAAGCATGTTTAAATTTCAATGTTCGTCAAGAAAGTCTGAGATGTTACACGCCAAACTTCAGCCTGACCTCTATGGGTGCTTTTACACATATATCCTCCTGTTTCTGCTTTGATTTTTATTTGAGTCTACTTAGCGTTTACATTGGTGACGTCATAGAGAGTGCCTGTTTTAGGGATGGCGTCCTCTATCATCTTGTGTCAAGGGGTGAAATCAAATTCTTTTGACTGACAGTAAGCCGTGCAGCACATGAACCTTTTATGTCCCCTCTCTCTGGTGTCATAACGAGGTCAGTGATATGAAAGAGACTATAAAAACATAAACAGTGTACATGTCAATATAGATCTGTATATTAAAGGAATACATTTACCTGATGGTCACCACTACTGATCTAATGGCTTAAGCAATCTTTTTCCTTTTTACTCAAAATAAACCAACTGGGCTTGACTGTTCCTTACAATCAAAAGATTTATTACTATGTTAGCTTGTGTACTAATACTAAAACAACAAAGCTGCTCTCATAAAATCTTGTGGTTTGCCATTAAAGCTTTAAAGCCAA